AGACAAAATTTAAAAGTCCCGAATATTCACTAGACGTTCATACAAGGGGGGAAAAGCGGACTCCTGGACTCCTCTGGGCTCCTGGACTCCCATGGACTCCTGAAGTCCAGGAGCAAAGTGTTCTTTTTTGGGAAGTGATTCCCAAAAAAAGAACACTTTGCTCTTGGACTCCTGGACTTCAGGAGCGCCCAGTGCTTCGAGTTGAGCAAGCTCTTGCTTCAGCATGAAAGCTTTAGCAGTAGTCGTTGAAACAATTTCAAAAAATTTCAATTTTTAAAATTTCAAAAGAGCTGTTGAAACATATCAGCTCCTTTCAAAAGAGCTGTTCAACAGTTCTTTCGCTCAAATGAGCTGAACTTATGAGCTGGAACTGTTACAGGTCTACATACAACACCAATAAAAACAAACTACTTTTGAAGTGGCAGATGAGTCTCATTTTTTAAACTGGTTTTACCGTGAACACTTTTTAAAGAAATGCTCTTTTACAAAATTACAGAAAAAAACACTAATGCCCTTTGATCAAAGTTATTCACGGTGAATAAATTATGTTTGAATGAAAAAAAGTATATGTTTTCTACAATCTTTTCAACTACACATATGAGGGAAATACCGCTGAATGAATTTTCAAAATCTTTTTAACATATGGCTCAGCATTTGCACCATTCTCAATAAAAGAATCATCTTTCTATCATTTTGCGTTTCTGAGTTACACAACAGCAAGAGGAAGAAAACACATATTTTAGTGACACCTGCTCTCGAAAACTGCAAAGTTAAGCACGATATCTGATTGTTCAAACTTATTCTTTAGCCAGTAGATGACACTCTGGACAATCTTTTACTAGTTATGAGCTTTGGATAAGAACTTAACTCTGTTATCCGAACGAAAAAATGCAAAACTCTTCTTACGTATAATGATCGGTTTTTTGTTGGACCATACCTTGCAGTATATTTATAGGCAGCGAGGTAAATTTGAATCGAAAATAGCCGATTCATAGCCTAGCGGAAGACACGTCTTTTGATAAAAACAGAAACCTTTTATGATGTGGGAGACTTTTGCACTAAATGTAGGACCAGATTTTTGATTTTTCTTTTTAGATCTCGCTAAGTACATTAGATGTAATCCTAATATACCAATTTTGAATCTTAATAAGATGTATTTAGCACATTCTGCTGTATGTTTGTCCCTTATAGCCATAAATTGTTTCGTGTATAATTTATCTAACTCTCTAGTTTGTTTCAATAAAACTTACATGAATGAGCAATTTTTTTTCATTTTCTGTTGTTGTTTTTTCTACGGTTACACACATAAAGAAAATTCCCAGTTGAAAGAGCCTACGTATTCTTCAAGTCTTTGCTACTTTAAAACTGAGATAAGTTCCAATGTATCTGTTGAAGAATTTCTGTACCTACAGTGGCAATTCTGACGTTGATTCCAGTTTCACAAGAAGTGTTGTCTTCACTTGTTGTCGACATTGATGAAGCAACTGTGGATCAAGAAACTGTGGACGAAAGATGAACGATAAAAATGTACAACATTTTTGCTTTCTTACTTTTAATTACTTTCTCCAATATATTGAAGTTGCTGGAAGAAGCAACAAAAACTCAGATGTCTCTTGAAATTGCTTTTTTCTACCTGAAATAATTATAAAAATATATTATTTCGATAGAAAATCTTGATTTCCTTTGAATGATCTTTTTATTTCTTCTGAAAATGCTTAGTTTTTGAAATGTTAATTTTTTTCTCATTGATAGCCATTTTTTGTACCTTCTGTACATTTTTCGTAAGGCGCGGGTAATTCAAAGTTTCAGCAGATGATATATCTGTATGAAGCATGCATCAGTCGATAGCCCTTGAAGAGGTGATCCCAAATATCACCTTTGAAAAAATTCTAGTCCTTTCCTTCGTGGAGAAAACCTCGAAATACTTCGTTCTTATCCAGTTTGCAAAAAGTTCGATATTTAACATAAAATTTTGTTTATTTCTTCTCCCTTGCACTTTTAGTGGTCTTAAGCGAAATGCTGGAGGGCCAGATGGGTTTGTCCAATGTCTTCATGCAGTTCCTGGCGATCGCGATTCTTCGGGTGATTTCGGGCACGCTACTGCCCGTTTTGTGAATCATGCATCCAAGGTAGACGAACGTGTCGACAACTTCCACGCTCTGACCAAGAACAGATGGAGCGTCGATGTTGGTCGGTACAAACCCATCTGGCCCTCCAGCATTTCGCTTAAGACCAAAATCCCTCTCTACAACTGTTATATACTTCCAGTCCACCTGTAGGGCGCGGAGACTTGGACAATAACTGGCACCGTCGAGAAGAAACTAGACGCGTTCGACAACTGGTGCCTTCGACGCATACTCCGCGTTCCATACACGAGTCACACCACGAACAAGGAAGTCCGTGAAAGCACCGGGCAACCCGAGATCAGCTCAACGATCAGAAGTCGACGCCTCCGACAATTCGAACATATAGCAAGACGAAACCCTCAAGCAGACCACACCAGAGCACTTCAAGCAGGTATAAACGGTCCTCCGCGTGGCTGGAAGCGCCCCCTTGGCAGACCACGCCACACATGGCTTCGCACCGTCGAAGATGATCTTCGCCCATTCAATTTCGGTCTCTTCTCCGCCTGGAAAACGGCTCGAAGCAGACAAAAATGGCGTAGTGTCGTAGAGAAAGCAACGTTCAGTAGGATACGCTACAGATAATGATGATTCAGTAACATAGTGGTTAACCATTTGATATTTCTTTTCGTGAGAATCGAACTTGATCTTAAGCAAGGTCGAAATCCGTCATGGTTGCTCGTCTCACCCTCAACCTCTTCACCCGCCGTCATGTGGGCAGTGTTGGAGTCATCGAACATTATGCTCTCAATAAAAAAAAACACTGTTGAACGAACCGCCGAACAAGTGCCTAAAAGATTGCGTCTGCATAGTGCTTTCTGGTGGCAAACCAGGTACGATCAGTTGAGGGTTCAGTGAGTCTGCTCGACGAGCGTTGCTTGTAAGATATATGAATTTTATTGATGTAGTAAAAATTCTCACTCGACATCAGAAAAATTTAAAAGCTCATTCTTGTTCTGTATAGTTTATGATGAGGCAGGTAGTTGATAGTTTGAATTCGGCCCACGACGGATACCATCATCTGAAACAACCTTCTGGACCAATCGTTTCGCATATTGTTCACGACGACGAGCACGGCCAGTTTTCTGTGTTGGCTTTTCTTGTGGAGCAACCTGTTAAAAGCAATATAGCAGTTATCATTCTGCAAGTTGTCATAGAAACTACAAGTGATTTAAACACTTACTTTTGGTGTTTGATTCTTAACTTTGCCAGCTCGGTTAATTCCTCCGTGGGTGGGCATAGTTGTAGTTGTAGTTGTTGAATAAATTTAACACAACAGTTAGTAATATCATAGTAGAAGACTAAGACCTATTTAAATACCTGAAAAATACATTATCTCAATGCGAAATTACGTAAGCTTTATTATTACGAAACTGTTTACGCGTAATTATCGGGAAACTTTATCAATGAGTCATGATGACACCAACCATATATCTTTTCTTCATACAGGTGATTCATACTTACGACAGCTATGATGCGGCATCAGAGGTAAGTATTGGTTGCTGTTTTAACGTTTGTAGAAATAGAAACTACTCTCTTTTGATTCAATTTGTAATTCATAATAAACTAGCGAAGGTATCCGGCGTTGCCTGTGAAATTTTCATCACAAGGGTGGGTGTGGGTGTGTACAATGAAAAGGTTAGCCACGACTAGTTTCGACCTGTCTCAGAGGTCTCATCAGGTAGCTTCAGCTTACTGCATTGCCATCTACCCTGGGCGAGAGTTACGACCTTCGTAAACGAACGGAAACGATCGTTCACGCTGAATTACGTGCCGTATTACGATAGTAAATGAGCGTAAATCACCGTATACGACCAAGATCTCGCAGTTTTCCTACCAGCCGTATTACGACCGTGTTTCATCGTGGAAAACCGACGGAATAACGGTCGTAAAAGATCGTAACAGCTCGTAACCGATCGTATTTTGAGAGTAAACGACCCGCTTATAAACGGTCGTAATACGATGAGTAGGAAAACGTTGAAAAACGATCGTGTATCGTCGTAACTGCACGTATGCGGTAGTTTACGATCGTGAGGCTTCGACCTGGGCTCGCTCGAGATGAAAGGAGGTTTGAAGAGTTGTTTTCTCGTTTATAGAATGTATTGACTTGTTTCTACCAAGTTACAACTTGGTTTGTTCAGAATCTACAGAGAAATGAGAGAGAAACTTCAAACTTCACATAGAAATACACACAAGAAAGTTCTGCTCTGGGGCCTTAGGGGCCTCGCTAGAAACGAAGACGAGGACGACGAGGCCGATTGGTGCCAAGCAGCCGGACGGTTGCTGTTGCCTTGCTGCTTGACCATTCGGTCTTCTCTCGGCGATGGGGATCAGGTCGCGACTGGGTTCCTGGAAGATCGTCACGTCGTATTATTCGTCAGTTGCAGATTTTGAGCAGGGATCGATTCGGTTTCTTGTTGGCTAAATACTCTTGAAGGTTGTCTAGTCTTCTGGATTCGACGATCGGCTTCATATTGCAAATGGCTGTATCCGCGAAGCAGTCTTCCCAGAGTCGATGGAATCGGGTCGAGAAATCGTGCATCCCTTTGCAAAAAGAGAAGTGGCAAAGGATATTGACTTCGAAGTCGATCCTAGCCTTCCTTTCACCATTGTCTGCTGCCGCCAGAAAGATCTTTCTCATCTCTGAGTAGTTCTTTCGGCTGAGTATTACGCACTGTAATGTCCGTGGGACTCTTTCCAGCTGTTGAAAAATGAATTCGGTTTGACTGAATGTGTGGCTGCCCATGTAGTACTGGAACGCAGATCACGCGCGGTTAGCTGCGCTTCTTGTTTCAGAAAAACGCGTGCAGACGCAAGTTGAGGAAGATTAGAAATGAACTTCGTTCAAAAATGTTCATAATCGCAGAGAGACGCGTTTGTCGATAGTACTGAACCACGTCATCCATAGTCTTGCGTAGAGACGCGTTTGCCGATCGTAGGAAACCGCGTTCTCGATATTTTTGCGTAGAGATGCGTTTCCCGATTGCAATGAACTGCGTTATCGATGTTGTTGCGTAAAGACGCGTTTGCTGATTGCAACGAAACGCGTCCTTGATATTGCCACGTTAGAGTGCGTTCTGACAGATGACTTTCAAAGAATGCTAGACAAGTCTGAGCACATTTTCTTTCGAGTACCTAATTTGTCTGAGTCGTCATAGGTCTCGGGTCCATCTTTTTTTGTGTACTGCTGTATTCGAATCGTGGCATCGTGGCACACCGGAAAGATCGACTATCGATAAACGATCGATGAATCTTTCTTACAGAATACACATTCCTGTTCTCTTGTTCATCTATAACTTGATACCAATCCTATGGATCTTATCGGTCTCGCTCTTCAATCTTTCGAAGATTTCCATCTTTCATGCTTCAATTTAATGTTGCTAAGCTTATCCATCGTCTGCAGAACAGTTGAATGTAGGAACCTAATCGTTCAGTTGAATTGCGGACGCACATATTCATGAATTTCTCGCGTCCCGCGCAAAATTCGCGGCTGTGTCCAGAAACAATTCGGTATCAGACCATATTTTTAATCAGAACTGATTAAAACGCTACAAACATTTTATTTCTG